GTTAACAAAATGAAATCTTACCAAGCAATTTTGTTTACATAATATAATAGAATTGCGTATGAAATTAATCACAGATGTATCACAACATGTAATCATTTTATTAATTTATTCACAGATTCAAAGACTTTTATTGTCGGACTTGATACGCTTGGATGTAATATTGTATGTATTTCTTAGTAAGAAGTATTGTTTAGCTTCATATTGTTGAAGGGTTCAGTGTTCTTACTCATTGAGGTGTAGGAGCAGGGCCAGGGTACTTTAATCCATCAGGGAGTTTGCCTGAGCAGAAACACCTTAGCAGTGCTGCTAAGCCAGCCTCCCAATGTCTTTAGACACACTCCCACCCACCCCTCCTCCACCTGACAGGCGGTTGTCTGTCAGGTGCAGGAGCAAGGGCAGAGCATTGAAAGCCATCAGGGAGGCTGCCCAAGCAGTCCTGCTGGCCCATGGTGCTCCTGAACTCGGTTTTTGGTCTGATGTTACAGACTCACCCGCCTGACACAACACCTTTGAAAAGACGGACGGACGGAGGCTTGCATTATTTGCAATGGCATCATTTCCAGATTTTGCTTAGCAGGTTCCCCCCCCCTTTAAATCGTTTTCAAGAAAAGCAAAAATGATTTGCAAACCATTTAAAATGGTAACTCAATTGCATGCGAACTCCCCTGGGGCTTGCATGCAAAGAAACGGAGTTGCTGCTTGAAAGAAATGCAAAGCGCGAGCCTGACAGGCTGCGAAACGGAAGTGGTGCGTTTCCATAGCAATCTATTTGCAGGCGCTCAAGCACTGACGTCAGGAGTGCAGGAACGGGAAGAACGAACACAAAAACAGCAACCATAGAGACACTTCCTGTTTCGTTGGCGCGACGCCGTTGGCGGACCAGGAGTCGCTCTACCTCCAAATCTCTATGGTTCCTCAAGGCTCTTTGCACGGGGTGGGCTAATCCAGCCCTTGAAAGAAAATCGCAGGGTTTTCCTTGTTTGTTTGCTTTCAAGTTTGTTTTGCATCCTGTATATAGAACAAAAGCTCTTTTGTTTGGAGATAGGACTTCCCGGGACTTATGATTAAAAAAGGAAATTTGGAATGTTTGGGGCTGTGGTCACAAGAGCCCACTTTCAGTGCACTTTCCAGCTCGGTTTTACTGTGTGAACTGGCAAAATCCACTTGGAAAGTGCACCGAAAGTGGGTTGAAAAGTAGGGTTGCCAACCTCCTGGTGGTGGCTGGAGATCTCCTGATATTCCAACTGATCTCCAATTAGAAGAGATCGGTTTCCCTGGAGAAAATGGCCGCTTTGGAAGGTGGACTCTTTGGCCTTGTACCCCATTAAGGTCCCTCCCCTCCCCAAACCCTGCCCTCTGCAGGGTCCACCTCCCAAAATCTCCAGGAATTTTCCAACCTGGAGCTGGCAACCCTCATTGAAAGTGGATTATTTAGTGTGTGTGACCGCAGCTTGGGACTAATGCTCCCTCTAAGCTGCGAAGTCTTGTGACCAGAAATTGTACTTTGTGAGCTACTGGCATTAAAGTTGTGAGCAGGCATTTTGGTTACTGCATAAATTAGTTTGCTCTGGAGCCACATCCTTCCTGAGCTAAGAGGGAACACGGCCTGGGACTGCTGTCAGCTCTGGTTTGGGAAATTCCTGAGGATTTGGGGTTGGAGCCTGGGTTCTTGAATTTTATGCACTCTCAACATCCCATATTACAGAAGGTGGGGGCCACTGGCTGAGAGTGCATGGCACTGAGCAACCCGGCAGTGTAGTACAGAGTCGTTATCTTCAAGATTTTCAGGGTTTGCGTGTATGTGTGCACAATGAGGCTGAGAGTGCTTTGCCACTGCAATACACTCCAGCGTTGTAATATGAAACTTAATGTTATTAAAATAGCCAAGCATTAGCTATAAGCACTATCCACTGCTCAATCTTCATTAGAGAAATATGTACTCAGTCCAAACTCCCAAAAGATTTTACACTCCTATAATCATAAAAACAGAAGAGAAGCCAGTGTTGGATCAGGCCAATGGCCCATCTAGTCCAACACTCTGTCACACAGGGGCCAGAAATACCAGGTGCCCTCAGGAGGTTCATCAGTGGGGCCAGGACACTAGAAGCCCTCCCACTGTGGCACCCCCCCCCCCAAGCACCAAGATGACAGAGCATCACTTGCTCCAGACCAAAAGTTCCTACCTAAACCTTGTGGCTCATAGCCACTGATGGACCTCTGCTTCATATGTTTATCCAGCTCCCTCTTGAAGCTGTCTATGCTTGTAGCTGCCACCTCCTCCTGTGGCAGTGAATTCCATGTGTCAATCCCTCTTTGGGTGAAGAAGGACTTCCTTTTATCTGTTCTTCTAACCCAACTCCTCAGCAATTTCATGGAGTGCCCATGAGTTCTTGTCTTGTGAGAAAGGGAGGAAAGGACCATTTTGTCTACCTGCTCTATCCCATGCATAATCTTGTAAACCTCGATCATGTCACCCCTCAGCCGTTGTTTTTCCAAGCTAAAGAGCCCCAAGCGCTTTAACCTTTCTTCATTTCAAATATAGATCAAAATAGTCCCATAAACCTGAACAAACAATGAGGGCTGCTGGCTCTTCACCCGTTTCAATTACCATCTTCTTCATAGTCATGAGATACTCCACTGGCCTGTTTAATATATAATCCCCACAGAAAGATGTAAGATGAATTGAACAGCATTACAAATATCAAATGAATTATACATTGTTGCCAGTATTAAATAATGTAAAATATCCTGACATAATACATACCTCATCTCTTAACATGACATCATACCTTCCAAAAGCCCAGGCGTCAGCTGTACACAATCCTGCAAGGTGTGCCTACTAAATGTCTATATTTAAAGGAACAGTGAGCATTTGATGTCATGTTAAAGAGACATGATTTTTCGTGAGTACTTTTTTTTCTCAAGTAAAAGTAGGGTACAGAAGGGAAGAGGGTGTAGGGCAGTGATGGAGAACCTTTAGAGACCCGAGTGCCCAAACTGCGACCCAAAACCCACTTATTTATCGCAAAGCGCCAACACGGCAATTTAACCTGAATACTGAGGTTTTACTTTAGAAAAAACAACTCATACATTAACTTAAGATGGTCCAAACAAAGTAAGGAAAGCAATCCTTACCTTGACTTCCAGAAAGCTTTTGATAAAGTTCCTCATCAAAGGCTCCTAAGCAAGCTCAAAAATCATGGGATAAAAGGACAAGTCCTTTTATGGATCAAAAACTGGCTAATTAATAGAAAACAGAGAGTGAGTATAAATGGGCAGTTCTCCCAGTGGAGGGGTGTAAGCAGTGGGGTACCACAGGGATCAGTACTTGGTCCACTGCTTTTTAACTTGTTCATTAATGATTTGGAGTTGGGAGTAAGCAGTGAAGTGGCTAAATTTGCGGATGATACGAAGTTGTTCAGGGTGGTGAAAACCAGTGAGGATTGTGAGGCACTCCAAAGGGATCTGTCAAAGATGGGCAAGTGGGCGTCAACATGGCAAATGGGGTTCAATGTGGCCAAGTGCAAGGTGATGCACATTGGAGCCAAAAATCCTAACTATAAATACACGTTGATGGGGTCTGAACTGGCAGAGACAGATCAAGAGAGAGATCTTGGAGTTGTAGTAGATAACTCACTGAAAATGTCGAGACAGTGTGTGACTGCAATAAAGAAGGCCAATGCTATGCTGGGGATTATTAGGAAGGGTATTGTAAACAGATCAGCCAATATCATAATGCCGCTATATAAATCAATGGTGCGACGAGCCTTGCACAGGAGGTCTCCCGGGCGTTTGCAAGGCAGCTGACCCGGGCCCAGCTGTTTGCAATGACGGGGCGGCTTCCGCCGGAGCCCGGCCCGGGATTGGGCGCCCTCCCCCGCGCCAGCCCTTGCAGGCTCCTCGGGGCGGAGCTTGCCGGCCGCCTCCTATTTCCGCTGGTGGACGGGGCGGCCGGAGGTGGTTTGGGCCGGGAGGCTGGTAAGCGGAGGCTGGCGCGTGGGGACGGCCGTGGCGGGGCGCTTTCTCCTTCCCTGACCTGCTTCATGAGCGGAGTTCACGTGTAGGCAGGAGTGGGGTGGGGTTAAGGTGCAAGCTAGGGGGGCAAAGTTTCCCCGTGCAAGGCTAAAGAACTCTGAGCTACCTCACACTAACTTGGCTTAGAGGGAACACTGTCCCTAATGCGCTTTGCAAACTGGGTTTTACTGCGCGGAATGGCTAGACCCACTTGCAAACGGTGGCTAAAGCGGATTGGAATGCCATTGCTAAGCATGTGTAAAAGTGACAGAGTCTAATTCCGGGGGAACTCCAGGCCCCACCTGGAGGTTGGGAACCCTACCTTGGTGTTTGCCCTTTTCCGACAGGGGTGGGGCTGGAGCAGGCCCCTCCCTTTCCCCCCCTGTGTGAGCCTGTGGGGATGGAGAGGGCCCTGCTCCCTTTGCCCCATGCAACCCTGTGGCGCTCCCTGCTGTAGGTCGCCCCCCCCAGATGTTCCCTCTAAGCTGAGTTAGTGTGAGCTAGCTCACAGTTTTTTAGCCTCCAGCTCACACATTTTTGTCTTCGCTCAGGAAGGAGGGCTCCAGAGCAGACTCATTTATGCAGTAGCCAAACTGCTTGCTCACAACTTTAATGCCAGTAGCTCACAAAGTAGAATTTTTGCTCACAGGGCTCCACAGCTTAGAGGGAACATTGGGGGACCAGTGTTCCCTCTAAGCTGAGTTAGTGTGCGCTAGCTCACAGTTTTTTAGCCTTCAGCTCACGGATTTTTGCCACAGCTCAGGAAGGGTGGCTCTCCAAAGCAAACTCATTTACACAGCAGACAAATCGTTCGCTCACAGCTTTCATGCCAGTAGCTCACAAAGTAGAATTTTTGCTCACAAGACTCCACAGCTTAGAGGGAGCATTGGTTGGGAGTCCAATGTTCCCTCTAAGCTGGGGAGTCTTGTGAGCAAACATTCTACTTTGTGAGCTACTGGCATGAAAGTTGTGAGCCAGCAGTTTGCCTACGGCATCAATCAGTTTGCTCTGGAGCCCTCCTTCCTGAGCGGAGACAAAAATGTGTGAGCTGGAGGCTAAGAAACTGAGCTAGCTCACACTCACTCAGCTTAGAGGGAACACTGGTTGGGACTCTCAGGGGGGCCAGGAGGCGGAGGAAGAACCGGGTGAGCCAGCTGGGGAAGGCCTTGGCTGAGTTCCGAGTTGGGCTTTGGGAAGCGGCCGTGAAATACAGTCCGTGGCTCAGTCATGTTCTCTGTTGATCAATATTAAAAGCAGAAACTTGAAGCAGAAACTCGTCCAGTGTTGCCTGGTGTGGGTTTCCAGTGTTCTGTGAGAGACGGGAAAGTAGGGCGGGGTGGAAGTCCTTAGCAGGCAGGTGCCAGAGACGACAGTAAGTTTAGGAATGGGCCTCTCTTCCAAAAGCCCATGAACCAGCTGTTGACCAGGGGTGCCATGCACACATGCAGGTTCCATGGCTCACAGTGGCCTTTCTTAGCTTCAGATTGGGTAGAAGCTTAAGCTTGGGCGTGTGAGGCGTGTGTAGGCCTGTCGTGAGCTGCTTGCCGAGCTCATGTGCGTTCCTCGGTTGTTTTGGTAGCAGTGTCGATTCCGCACACGGGCAGTTGACGTGAAGCAAGCTTTCCGGTAACGCAGGGCTTTTTTTATTTCTGGAGCGAGGTGGGGAATAAAAATAGCCATGGTGGCGATTGCCTAGCGTGTTACTTGGATGACTGTGCTCCGCGGATGGTGGATTGTTCCCTTTGTGCTTTGCCCATGGGCGCGTGGCACATGGCCCTTCATTCAGTGTGGTGGCGCAAGTCTTCTAGAGGTTTTCCCCCTGGCCCCATGTTATGGGAAAGTGTGGGAGTGGGGGAAAAGTTACAATGCTCTGGATTGCTGCAAGGTCCTGTGTGCAACCTTCGCTGTGGAATAAGGAGCACTGTGGGACTATTGCAACATCTTTGTTGCTATGGTAGTTCACATGCCGGCTGTGTGATTGCCCACTTATCGGCATAGGCCTGGTAGTTTTGTGACAAGAGAGAAGAAGAAGAAGAAGAAGAAGAAGAGATTGGATTTATACCCCGCCCTTCGCTACCCAAAGGTGTCTCAGAGCGGCTCCTTACAAACTCCTTCCCCTCCCCACAATAGACAGCCTGTGAGGTAGGTGGGGCTGAGAGAGCTCTCACAGAAACGGCTCTTTTTCAAGAACAGCTCTTATCAGAACCACGGCTTGCCCAAGGCCATCCAGCCAGGTGCAAGTGGAGGAGTGGGGAAGAAGAAGAAGAAGAAGAGATTGGATTTATACCCCGCCCTTCAGTACCCAAAGGTAGTGGGGGAATCAAACCCGGTTCTCCCAGATTAGAGTCTGCGCACTTAACCACCACACCAAACTGGCTCTCTGACAATATGGAAGAGGGACTTCCCAACTTGGTAGCGCCAAACACAGTTCTTCTGAGGAGTCCCGACCGGGCTCTTGAAAGCTGATTGTTCTGCATGGGGGGCTACTGCCCTTCCTGTCAGTGTAATAGCTTCATGGCTGGAGGGGCAGCGGGTTCAGAAAAGCACCTCAGATATTCTTCACTTCAAGCAGAAGCCTTCATAGAACCATAGAGTTGGAAGGGACCTCCAGGGTCATCTAGTCCAACCCCCTGCACAGTGCAGGAAATTCACAAATATCTCCTCCCCACACCCGCAGTGACCTCTGTTCCAGGCCCAGAAGATGACCAAAAAACCTCCAGGATCACTGGTCAAACTGGCTTGGAGAACAGTTTTGCTTCCTGACCCCAAAGTGGCTATGGGCATTTCCCTGGGCATGTAAGAAAGGGCCGCGAGAACTAAGCCCTGAGGCAACCCTTCCTGCCCTCCCTCTCATGATCTGTCTTTCACAGAATAAGCATTGCTGTCAGATGGCTGTCTCGCCTCTGTTTAAAAGCTTCCACCACCTGAGGAAGCCTGTTCCACTGAGAAACCGCTCTAACTGTCAGGAAGTTCTTCCTCATGTTTAGCCGAAAACTCTTCTGATTTATTGTCAACCCGTTGGTTCTGGTCGGACCTTCTGGGGCAACAGAAAACAACTCCACACCATCCCCTATAGGACAGCCCTTCAAGTAGTTGAAGATGATTATCGTATTATCTCTCAGTCCCTTCCTCTCCGGGCTAAACAGACCCAGCTCCTTCAACCTTTCCTCACAGGGCTTGGACTCCAGACCAATGTTCCCTCTAAGCTGTGGAGTCTTGTGAGCAAAAATTCTGCTTTGTGAGCTCCTGGCATTCAAGTTGTGAGCGAGCGATTTGGCTGCTGCGTAAATTAGTTTGCTCTGGAGCCCTCCTTCCTGAGCGAAGACAGAAATCTGTGAGCTGGAGACTAAAAAACTGTGAGCTAGCTCACACGAACTCAGCTTAGAGGGAACTGGTCTCCAGACCCCTCACCATCTTCGTTGCCCTCCTCTGGACACCTTCCAGCTTGTCTCGATCCTTCTTAAATTGTGGTGTCCAAAACTGAACACGATACTCTAGGTGAGGGCTAACCGCAGCAGAGTAAAGTGATACCATCACTTTGCGCGATCCGGACGTTATACTTCTGTTGGTAACCTTTGCCCCGTTTTGCGAAGGTTTCGCAAAAGCATGTGCACAGCAGTTAATGTCGCAATCCTAATAACTTCCGAGGAGGAAGTCCCATTGAGTAGGATTCTGAGCGATGCTCCCTCTAAGCCAGTGATGGCGAACCTTTTAGAGACCGATTGCCCAAACTGCGACCCAAAACCCACTTATTTATCGCAAAGTGCCAACACGGCAATTTAACCTGAATACTGAGGTTTTACTTTAGAAAAAGCAACTCATACATTAACTTAAGATGGTCCAAACAAAGTAAGGAAAGCAATCCCAAATGCTTTCATTTGCTTAAAATTATTTGGCAGAGAATTTGACACTTTAATGATGGTCTGGGCCTGGCTGGGGCGATGGCACGCGTGCCCACAGAGAGGGCTCTGAGTGCCACCTCTGGCACCCATGCCATAGGTTCGCCACCACTGCTCTAAGCTGTGGAGTCTCGTGAGCAGAAATTCTACTTTCTGAGCTACTGGCATTAAAGTTGTGAGCGAGCGAGTTTGTTCTGGAGCCCTCCTTCCTGAGCTGAGACAAAAATGTGTGAGCCGGAGGCTAAGAGACTGTGAGCTAGCTCACACTAACTCCGCTTAGAGGGAACACTGATTCCAAGTGTGTCAACTGCCGGCAAGTCGTTTCTGACTTATGGCGACCGTATGAATTAATGTCCTCCAGTTCTAAGCATGCCCCTTAGAATGGCTCTCTTTACCTTCCTTTTCTCTCCCCCCCTCAATTCAGCTTGCACATGCCTTTAGGGGTGTCAAACATAAAACCCATCTGGGGCTCTTTCGGTGCACGAGAGCAACTGGTGTAAGGGAGAGAGTACTGGGGAAGAGTCGGTGGAGCCCCACTCCATTGTGGCTTCAGCACGGCTGAACAACCTCGTCTGCAGCAGTCAAGCATCGTGGGCGCATCTGTCCGGCTGCCTCTCCAGTCCGCCTCCGTGGATTTTCCTCTGCACCCCCCCCCCCCCCCCTGGGTCCCTGCCG